TTAATATATTTATAGCCCCAGGGTGGTGTAGAAGACTCCGATTACACTCAATTTATTTTATCAACATTTTCTTAATGATGAGTGTTAGGAATTCTTAGAACTCATCGTTAAGAAAATATTGAAAACATAAATTGAGTGTAATGGGGGGTTTCTTCTCAATCACGGTGCTATATAAATAGATTCTTGAGCATCCACTTGACTCAATAGTGGGGCTTGGGGCGGTTCCTCGTAATTTGTCATATCTGTCAGCTGCCATTGGCAGAATAGATTTGGTTTCACAGATTTTAGAAATAACTTTTAAATGTATTTATTATATGTCCCACTATGTAGACAGTGTCCAAGGTATTCTAGAAATGAGATGGATCCCAGTTCTACAACTTGCTCGACATGAGTAAAATTTGAAGCCCCATGGTTCATCTGGCTTTTATATTAGATGGACTTTAAAAAAAATCTCTGGAAAAGAATTCCAGAATTCAGAAAGGGAGTATTCTAAAAGGTTTTCTGTACAGAGTTACAGAATATTTTACTGCCAAAAATCCATAGAAAATTTAGTTTTACTTTGGAAGTTTTTTTGTTCCAAGTTTGGAGACTGAATTCAGTCAGTAAAGTGTAAAACAAAGGATTTTAATTCACCTTTGAGAAGCAATCACAATATGCTTTTAACTGTATAGCCTGTACCAATGCCTTCCTAATAGGAGAAGCTAGTTTGTAAATTAAAAAACTAGAAAATTCACTTTTTTTTTTTTTTTAAGCAAAAAGGGAGTGAGAGAAAAACTTTGATCCTGTATCAACTCCAAAACAGAATTGGCCCCAGAATCATTGCTGTCTGGTAAAGGGGCATCTTCATCTGTATCTAGATCTATCTGTGTGCACAATACAACTACATTAAACGAACATTAGCAGGTTGCAAAGCCAAGCTCTGAAAAGTTAGAAAATGCCAGCATTCCGCCCTCTTGTGCATATGCATTATGATAGCCTTAGATTATGTGATCTCACATTATTTTTTCCTCAGGACCCCTGCCTCATTCAGTGCAGACTGGATGGTGCTCCCATAACGAGCAGCTATTCAGTATTTTGTTCTCTCCTTATTGTTCAATGTGTGGCCTCATGCTCTGTTTACTGCATGCTACTCAAACAGGGCCGGCTCTAGGTTTTTTGCCGCCCAAGCAAAAAAAAAAAAACCTTCAGGAGCACAACTGCCAAAACAAAAACGCTCTGAAGTGTCCAGAATGCTACCCCTCAAATTGTGCCGCCCCAGGCACGTGCTTGGTTTGCTGGTGCCTAGAGCCGGCCCTGTACTCAAAGCCTGTTCTGAAGACAGACTCACTAATTTCCTTGTGGCCTTTCTGTAGGGGCTTATCATTATATAACCTGAGTTCTTCACAAATATTAATGAATTTATTTTTACAATATTATCATCCCCATTTTGCAGAGAGGAGCTGAGGCACAGAGAGATTAAAGTCAAAAGTATCCACTAATTTTGGGTGCCTGATGTGAAATGCATAGGGCCTGATGATATAGCACTTAACATGTTCAAAGCATAGCTCCTATTGACTTCAGCGGCTCAGTGCTTCTGCAGATCAGTCCCCAGGATCTCTAGTCAGTCACCCAGAAAATGAGGCGCACACAATTCATTACCATTTATAAAAAGTTTGGATTAAGTGACCTGCCGAGCATCACACGGGAACCTTGTGGCAGAGGCAGAGATAGAATCCAGTTCTCCAGAGCAGCATTCAACTGCTTTCACCATGTTTTTTCTCCTCCTCCTGCAATCCCCTGCCTCACTCACTACAGACCTTCCAACTTCTGCAACAAATGAGTCGGGGTCTTCTTCATTACACAGCCCTGATCCATCTTCAGAGAAGGCCCATCCTGTGTGATGAATGGGGCAGGGATCCCATGGGAAAATAGCATATAATCATGCAATTAAAGACTACATAGTAATACATATGCACAAGGGAGGCAAAATAAGGTTGCCCAGGCATCGGGGGCATTGAGAGCAGAGGAGAGATTTGCGTTCAGTTCAGGTGCCTTGACCCCCGTCACAGCCTGCTGCTGTTACTGGGAAAGTCACGCTCAGCCCCAAGCTTGAACGTGCCCAGTGTGCATGGATCCTTCTGGGTATTTAGCTGCTAAAATCTAAGTCTCTACTGAGCATGTGCGAGCTTTGATTTTCAGAGACTGAAATAAACTTGGCGAAATTTGGGCAGATTTTCATGGAGCCAGCAAAAGGCCCATCCCTGACGCAAAGGCTACCCCTCTGCCAAATGTCACATCCCCGCTCCAAAGCCTGGGGCACAAGAGCTTCTCTCAGAAAAGGTTCCCATAATTTTTTAACGTGGGCAAAACAACGTGTTTATCCCTCGCCTTGTTCTCAGAAAATGCTGGACCATTTTGGCTGAAAACTTCCAAAAAAAAAAAATAATAAAGCAACAACAATCACCCCAACTTGAGGCAGACACCTGGCTTGGAAAACTTCAGCCCAAACAATTAAAGTCTGGCAAAGTCATAAGCAGTGAAAACAGGATCTAATAATAGAAGTATCAGGTGATCTTAACAGGGCTGTGTTACCAGCCCCACCTATAATGTTTTTATTTGTATTCTCCATTGTTCGCAGTGTTCCTCTGGAAGTTTGGAAGACGTATCTTTCCCTGATAATAGTGTCATATTTCATTCTGCAAACATCAGTATTTTCCCTCTCACTCTGGCATTTTCTCTGTATTAGGGACATTATAGAAATAATAAACAGCATTGCATTGTATTTTGATTGGTGTTGAAATTAGCATGACTCATTTTTTTTTGGTATGCTACATTCTTGCTGTACTGCCGGTATTATGGATTATTTTATCCCTACAATCAGCAGAAGTCCTGGAATAGGATTTCTTTAACTTGTGCTCATGCCAACTGCCTGTCTTGCTCTGCAACAAGAGAGCAGAAGTACGGTGGGATTATCCTTAACGATGGCAGATTTTTTCTTACTTTTTTATGCTAGTGATAAATTGGGGGTATTGCTTTCTGTTTACAAATGATCTAGCATTCATGGGTTTATTGAGTGAAGCAACTGCTACTTCCAGAGGTGTTAACTTCACAATATGGGAGAGGCAGATCAGTTACCACTCATGCAGCCTTTTAAAAATGATAAATAATATTTTTTAAAGTGCAGTGACGAGGAACTGTTTGGTTGAACTCATCGGCAATGCGAAATGAGTCTTTCACCTTGGGTGACCAGATGTCCCGATTTTATAGGGACAGTCCCGATTTTTGGGTCTTTTTCTTATATAGGCTCCTATTACCCTCCACCCCCATCCCGATTTTTCACACTTGCTGTCTGGTCACCCTACTTTCACCTCTAGATTGCTGGTTGCTCCAGTAGTGACTGACAGATGGTGGTTTAGTGGCTTGTGAGAAATACAATGATGGTCTCAGTCCAGTTCTCAGCAGACAAGTGTGAACATCACGACACTGCAATCCCAATCGGTATTAATTGGCACCCAGGTTGACAGTCTCTGAAGAGAGATGCCCAAGGTTGATACACTCCTAGAGCAGGTCCCTCTCCCCAGATGAGTGATTGGATGATGTGGGCAATCTTTCATTGCCGATGTGTGCTGCCATAACAGTTGTTGTCTGTAAAGAGAGGGTTTGAGTCTCCACAGCTGTCAGCCCAGCACTTTCCATGGTTTCAGTTTTAAAAAGTGTGGTTAAAAACAGGCCGGGGGGAAAAAAACAGCTTGCCTCCTTCCTAAAAAATGCTGTGCTTCTGCTGCTGATTCCAAGACCACTTCAGTGTTTACTCTAAATCTAGGTTTCTAATTGCAGGGGGTGAACAATGTCAGGGGATAAGATTTCCAGAACAATTTTGCTTTCTTTGAGGACTGGGAGATGGGACTTTGTAAGGAGAAAAAAGGAGACATTTAGACAAAAATAACCTATTGAGCAGTTAACCAGCAGAACCATCGCTGTCAATGGTCGGCACAGACAGACTAGAAAGTATGTAATATCTTGGCTGACCACCATCAAAAATTGCTAGAGTGGGAATTGGCATGTTAGCAAATTTAATTGAAAGCAAATCCAAGCTTCTTTCATGCAAGAAGTCTCTTTCTGCCTTATTACTTAACTTGTTAAAATTGTACTTGAAAGATAGGGGGAAAGCTTGAAATGTATATTGATTGATATAAAAAAAAATGAGTATTACTGAGTCTCTCGACTTTTTGCTGATCGTGGGTCATTTCACTTTCACAATATTTCATAATTAAAATTATTAGTAATTCTGTTTTAAGTCTCTGCCAACTTCCTAATTAACTCTTCTTTCCCTCAGATTGCAGTGCTTATTTATTACTGTCAGCTCGCTGTATAGTTTACACAAGGCACCAGGAATTTTTGCTAAGAATGTCTCTGGTTTTGTTCTGTTGATATATGTATCTCTGTTTCCACTGCAGCCATACGAATCATGGGATTAATGAGCTGTCAGATTCTGGGTAATGAATGAAAAAATGACAGAGATCTTTTCAGAATTTAAGAAGCAATGTGTTAAATTTGTCATCAATGCTATAAAGAAATCACATCTCTTCCATGTATGAATCAGGAAACGTCTTAAAAAAATAAATAAAAATTGCAGTGGTGCAAAGGCCCCACGTGATCGCCTGGTGAGCAAGTGGTTATTTCCAATTCTGTTTCCATCTCTTTTGGCATCGCTGCTCAGGGGCTGTTTGCGAGAGAGAGAGGCAGGCAGGAGAATGTGTTTTGGAAAAAGTAATAGATTTCTACACCTGGGGCTCTAGGTTCTGAGTTGAACCCGCAGCTGGAGATTTTTTTGTGTTCTCTCTTTATGCCTATATGAATTTGCTGGATTTCTTGTTATAAACATTACTCCTTAAAGGGAAGACCTTGCTGACTGCCAAAGAGTTATTTTTCCATGTGGGTCATTCCGCCCATTTACAAAGTTTCATTAGATTTAGATTCCATAATTCTTCTTATATATATAAAAATATATTTTGATCCAGGTGACGGTCACAGATGGAGGCATCTCTCCCAAGCAATCTACTGTTTGGGTGGTGGTTCAAGTTCTGGATGAAAATGATAACAAGCCTCAGTTTCCAGAGAAAGTCTATCAGATCAAGTTGCCCGAGAGGGACCGCAAGAAAAGAGGGGAGCCAATCTACAGAGCTTTTGCATTTGACAAAGATGAAGGACCGAATGCAGAAATTTCCTACAGCATCGTGGATGGAAATGATGATGGGAAATTTTTTATTGACCCTAAAACCGGGATGGTTTCTTCCAGAAAGCAATTCACAGCAGGGAATTATGACATCTTAACAGTAAGGCTTCAGAATTAGCACACACCATTTGATGTTTCAAGAATATGTTTTTTAAAGTTAGTATAAATAATGTCACATAGTTTTCCCTAATTTAGGAGTTATATGTAAAACCTTAACCTATTAAGAAATCCAGTTGTCATACATAACTATAGATAAAGAAATAACCTCTTTTTACTCAAAATGTTTTCATACTTCTCAGGTTGTTCAAAAGGTAGATCTTCAAAGCATCAGTTTGTCTTTCCAATGCACAGGGAAAAAACATAGACCGAGGGCTTGTCTACGCACACAATAGTTGTACCACTTAACTCTACCACTTCAGTTAAAACAATACAACCCCCTTAGTGTGGAGGCAGTTATACCGATATAAAAGTACCATATATACTCGTTCCCAAGCCGAATATTTTTGGTAAAAAAGTGACACATCAAAGAGTGGGGTTTGCCTTATTAACGGGTCTACACCAAAATTTGATGATTTTAAACTCTATGGAATCATTGAATTGAATATCTAATACATTGTCGTTTTGTTTACCTGGAGCGTCTGTAGGCATCGAGCCCCACAGCAAACCGTGGCCACTGGGAGCTGAGGGGCTCCGTGCCTGTGAACGCTCCAGGTAAACAAAACGTCCAGGCCCGCTAGAGGCTTACCCTAACGGGCCAGGAGCCAAAGTTTGCCAACCCCTGAAATATAGGGTTGGCTTATGAAAGGGTCATATAGTTTTTGCTCTTTTTACCTAACCATCTTGGGAGGTCGGCTTATAAACGAACGGGCTAATGAACAAGTATATACGGTAATTATACTAGTATGGCTTATGGAGGCCCTCTCGGAGATCCAGAGAGGCCCGGGCCACTTCCAGCTTTGAGGCCCCCTAGCCATAATAAAAATTAAAAAATGACAATACATGAAAAACAAAATAAGGCACCAAAAAAAGAGTGAGACATAATTTGAATACTTTTTTTATTTAACAAATGCTTTTCTAGCCCTTCTCTGTGCAAATGCACTAATTATTGAGGAAAAATCTATATCAAGTGTCTAAATTTGAGGCCCCCTTTGAGCTTGAGGCCCAGGCCAAATGGCCCTCCTGGTCCCACCCTCTTATTGGCCCTGGGTTTTTGCTTGTAAGTGAAGGGGAATAATGTATACTGACATAAAGCACTTTTACACTGGTGTAACTTCACCCACACTAGGGGTTGCACTGCAATAACTATTTCAATAAAAAAAATCACTGCCTTAAGCACAATAGTTATGGGGCACAAAAACTGTGTGCAGACCAGGCCTGAGAGAGACAAGAGATGTGTGGTATTTTTTGATAGAATCAAATTTAGGGGCATATGAACTCCAGAAATCTATATGTATTGGAAACACTCTTGTGTGATTGAAAACGATTCATGGTAGGCACTTAAACAAAGGATTATGACAGCAAAGTATTGAGTGGGCGCAGGTGTCTAGTAGTGTGCCACATTGATCGATGTTTCATCCCATCTTATTTCACATCTTCATCAGGGATCTAGGTATCAGCGTAAACAGCACAATGGCCAGGTGCCTTTCAGATCTCACACTGCGAGCCAGGTCTCTCTCACTTCTTGGGAATTGGCTTTATTAATAAAATACTGTAATGTAAAGCTCAGCTCAAGTCTTCTCCCCAGGCCGAGTTCCCACTCTGATTCCTACTGCAGGACTGCTCAGGATACAGCCTTGATCCTCTCTCTCTAAAGAGTCCACTCCTCTTAAATCCAAGCAGAGTAAAAAGCCACCTGCTATAGTTCACCAGATCACCTTAATCTGTTTCCCACAAACCACCTGTTACAGTTCACCAGAATACCTTTATCTGTTTCCCAGCAAGATCAACACTGGCTGACAGGATATGGTATTTCAGGCAAATACTGCCAGCCTTTTAAAAAGTGTGTTAATCACATTAAATGATGCTATAGTCATATATATTTATAAATATCTCCTATAGTGTATAACTTGAAAACACACTAAAATAAAGGAAAACTAGCCAAACTCTCAGGATGTTGGCATAACTGACCAAAGCACCCACATGAAATTGTATTTGTAACCCCCATCCTCCCTTCTCTGACCCAGATGTTTGTTATCCCATGTCCTTTTCTACACATGGGGCTTGTCTATCTGGAGAGTTACTGTGCAGTAAGCTGCGCTGTAAATCAACAGCCCTATAGGCTGCTGCACACTAAGTCACCACGTGTACCCTGCTGCCTCTCACTAAAAGTTCTGCTTTGACCTACTGCATTCTGAAACAGCGGTAGATCGAAGTGCACTATGGAACTTCTAGTGCATGGCCACAGGTTCCACGCAGCCAATTAGCGCATAGCAGGCTAGAGTGCTGTAGATTTACACCCCAGCTTGCCAGGCACTAACTCTTGGTATAGACAAGCCCCTAGATTGTAAACTATTCCAGGCAAGGATCACGCTTATCAAGCACCATGCACATTGATAGTATAATACAGGGGTCGGCAACCTTTAAGAAGTGGCTTGCCAAGTCTTCAGTAATTTAAGGTTTCGCGTGCCAGTAATACATTTTACATTTACAAGGCCTCCCGACAGAACCCCAGACTAGCAGCGGGCTGAGCGGGGCCGGTGGCAGGGACCCCGGCTGGCAGGGGCCGGCGGATGGAACCCCAGACCGGCAGCAGGCTGAGCCATCCGGGCCAGCAGCAGGCTGAACGGGGCCGAGACCCCTGGCTGGCAAGGGGCCGGCAGCTGGAACCCCAGGCCAGCAGCAGGCTGAGCGGGGCCGGCAGTAGGCTGAGCGGGGCCGGCGGCTGGGACCCCAGACTGTCAGCGCAGGAGGCAGACAGAACCCCAGACCGGTAGTACGCTGAGCCACTCAGCCCGCTGCCAGTCTGGGGTACCGTCTGCTGGCCCCTGCCAGCCGGGGTCCTGTCCGTCGGCCCCGCTCAGCCTACTGCCGGCCCCACTCAGCCTGCTGCCGGCCCGGGGTTCCGTCCATTCAGGCCAGCAGTGGGCTGAGCAGGGCCGGGACCCTAGCTGGCAAGGGGCTGGCAGCCAGAACCCTACTCCGGCAGCTGGCTGAGCGAGGCCGGCGGACGGAACCTCAGACCGGCAGCGGGCTGAGCGGCTCAGCCAGCTGACAGTCTGGAGTTTCAGACGCCGGCTCCTGCCAGCCAGGGTCCTGGCCGTCGGCCCCGCTCAGCCCGTTGCCGGCCTAGGGTTCCGTTCACCCAGGCAGGCAGCGGGCTGAGTGGGGCCGGCGGCCGGGACCCCGGCTGGCAGCAGCGTGCTGGTAAAAATCGGCTCACGTGCCGCTTTTGGCATGCGAGCCGACCCCGGTATAATATAAATAATAAGAATTAACCCTAAGTTGGGAGGAATTGTGAACACTGAGGGCAGAGAAGCAACATAAATAGATCTATAGAAACTGAAACAAAGGAAGAAAGTAATCATTTTGGAAAATGGGTTGAAATAATCCAAAACATAGTATTGTAAGAGACTGAAGGATCATAGCATACTGAAAAGTTAAGAGTTTTGCAGTCCAAGTGCGATAGCAAAAAAAGCCATTGGTCCACATATGTGTCATGTCATGGATCATATTTGTGTTTGTACAGTGCCTGCCAAAGTAGGTCTTAGAATCTCTGAGTAGGACTCCAGTAATACAAATAATGATGAAAATAACAACAACAGTGTAAACACAAGATATAGGAATTAGTTAGATTGGAAATAGGAGTAATGAGGTGAAATTAAGGGACATTTGGGGAAGATTATTAATAATAATACTTACCTCTTATATAATGCTTCTCATCAGCAGGTCTCAAAGTGCAAAGGTAAATATCATTATCTCCATTTTACAGATGGGGAAAATGAGGCATAGAGTGATGAAGTGACTTCCCAAAGGTCACCCAGTAGCTTAGTGGCAAAGCCAGGAATAGAACCCAGGTCAAACTTCCTGACAGTGGAAGCCTATTACATTTTAGAAAAGTCTTCTAGAGAAGATAATAGAATTGGACTAATATAACCCTACATTAGTCCAATTCTAGACCAGTATCAATAAAGCACTGGTAGACTCAGACACCAATAACAGGTTAAAAGTGTGAATTATTTGACTAGAAACATATGACACGTACTGTTAAAAAGCTGAGATTCTAACTTGTCTGTTGCTTGTAGCATATCTTTTTAGTACTGGCCTGGCAAGCAGATATAGACCTTTACATCTCATTAATGTGAATGCCATCTTGCTATTTTACCCTGTTTGAATGACAAAATATTAATGCCCAATATCTCACAAAAACTGCAGCAGATGTAAAATCTGTGGAGTTAAGCTATGGGTGAAAAGAGCCTATATAGGATATTGAAGTCATCATCATCTACCATGCTGAAAGCCCTCTGTATTCAATATTTGTTTTGTGAGTTCACGCATCCCTACAATAATGCTGGTGTTATTTGACAGTGCCAGTTGTAGTGGTTTGTATCCCTTCCGCATAGCAAGGATTGCTTCAAACCCCTGACATAATTTTATTTTATCAAGTTCCCCTCGCTGCCTCAGAAGTGCAGAGAAGACCATAAGCAGTAACAATCCCTTTAGACTTCAGTTCTATCTCCAGTATTGGGCAGGTCACGTACGTTAGTTAGATAGTTAGTTAGTTATAAAAATAATTAGCGCAAAATTGAGTTTTCAACTAAATGAGATTTTACCAAGTGAAAAGTGTCTGAAGAAATTTTTGATTTTGGGTGAAATTAGTGGCCTTAGATACACAGGAGGTCCCTTCAGACCTTAACCCTATGAAACTATGGAAAACTTACATATTTAGGCTAAAAACTGAAATATTTTGAGCCAGATATCCTGTAACAGTTCCTCATGAAGGGCTGTAGTTCAGTTTCCTCATGTCCCCATTGTCCTCCCTGGCTGGGCCATGTCTCTCATGATTCACCATGGCCAGGGGCTTTCATGTTGCAACCTCTCCCTCACCAGGAGGAATAACTGTTCCAGGGAGCCTGGACTGAAAGGGAGCATGAGGTCCTTAGAATACAACTCCCATGAGGCCAGCAGCATTTCCAAACCATTTTGATTTTCACTGAAAGATCAAACTTTTACATGAAAAATTTTTACAAAAATGATTTTTCATTTTTGATGAAAATTTCCACAGAAATAAACCCAACTTTACTCTGGTGGCAGGAGTATTCTCAAGATGCATTGACAGAGCAGCATGTTAAGCTACCGTATGTGTTCTCTCTATGCGTAACAGATAAAAGCAGTGGACAATGGACGACCCCAGAAGTCTTCAACTGCGCGCCTCCATATTGAGTGGATTAAGAAACCCATACCCTCACCTGTATCACTGACTTTCGATGAGCCCTTCTACAACTTCACTGTCATGGAAAGTGATAGAGTGACAGAAATTGTGGGCGTGGTCTCTGTGCAACCCGCTAACATACCTTTGTGGTTTGATGTAGTCGGTAAGTTTGAACTCAGTGCTGTGAATAGGTATCAAGAAAAACACCTCCGGATGTGTGGTTTTGAGAGTGAGAAAACTAACAGTGAATTATCACCCAAATGAAAAACATGAAATGCTGAGATGAAAATGCCTAATTTAATATAATAATAATAATTAATAATCATGCTTTTGTTATGACTCCTTAGCTAAGCTGAAAAGAAAGCGCTGGATGGCTGGATTGTTTTTTTTTTCATAGTATGTTATTTACTGCAATCTTGATGTTGTCTGTCATTTAAATTCTATTGTCATACTTTGCTAATCTCATTTCTAAATGTATTTATGGTACTTAGACTTGCTGTCCCTCATTTCTCTCTTTTCTTCACCTTTTTTTCTGCATTCTGTTCTTTTTTTTCTGCTTCCGACTGCCCTGCTTCAAGGTGGCAAGCATGCTCGAGAGATGTTCTATATTCTACAGACAGCTTGTGGGCAGAACTGTTCAACAGAAGGTACCCTTAGTGCAAACACATTTGCTAAAATACAACTATCCAAGCTGCCTTTTTTTTTTCTTTTTTTACAAGTTCTTTGAAGCAAATTATATTACATCTTTCATAAGTGTCTGTGACAGAATGGACTTGATACATTCTTTTCTATGACAGCTTTTATCGTATCCAATTATTATCCCTTTATTCACGGATTTTCACAATTTAACACCAAAAAAATCAAATGTTTTACAGTTCAATGCTGTCCGTTTAAAACATGAAATGGAAAAAAATAGGCGTGAGCAGCATCAGCATGTGGGTTGCAAATGGAGCCACCAAAATGATCATCTTGAATGCAAGCTGAAAAAGAGAAATAAGTTTAGATGTGAGATTTCAAGCACAAAATTGCCTAATTTGCCTTCCATAACTTTGCTTATAAAGGTGGAGGAAAGGAAAGCAAGCATGGTTGGTAAAAGGCAGGAGAGGGAATGACAGTGGTGGTATTTTAAATGCAAAGGCAAATGCAGTAGGTCCGTGGATATCAGAAAAAGAGGGAAGAAGGAGTATTGCTTAGCAGCTGGAACAGGAAACTAAGAGTCAGCATTCCTGAGGGCTGTTCCCAGCTCTGCCATTGATTTATTTGTGTGGCTTTGGGCAACTCACTTAACATCTCTGTAACCTTTCTGTCCTTAACTGCCAATCTGTGCAGATCAGGAAGGGAAACTATTGTGTTTCCTCTTGTATCTGTAGCTGGGTTTCTGAGATGCCAAATATCATTAAAACTCAGCCCAATGCTGTCGTGCTCTTGGGTTCCCGTTAGCCCTTCGAGAAGAGCAAAACACATCTCCTAATGTCTTCCCTTGCATTCTTCGATAGTTTTAGCACAGTATGAGCAGTTTATATTAGCATCATGTTTACATTCCCTTCCTCTTGCTGACCCTAACTATCCTCCCAGGGGGAGGCTCCCCCCTGCCCATTGACTTTATTGTCACTTTTTGAACTCGAACTTCTTGTTGGACTTCTCTGCCCTTCATCCCGTTTTGTCTTTTGCTCAGTGAATCCTACCACTCTCATTATAATGCTCTCAACTTTAAGTCTGAGAGAAGGCTGCTGCTTTCCAGCTACATTCTTACGCATCATTGTAATTATTCCTGTTCCAGCACCTCCTCCTAATGGTGCTCAACATGTTTGCCTCCCAAAGAGACGGCTGATGAAGAGCATGCATGGTAATTAGAGCCCGTAGTTTGTAATTCAATATAGTACTTACATCTAGAATAGCTTAAATACTTTTTAAAATAGGTTTTAATTTATCCCCCCTCCCCCTGAAAAAAAATCCTAACATTGTCCATAAAGGCTCTAGGGTTTCATACTGAAAGATGTTGAGTCAGTACCAAGAGATGCTGAGCGCCTAACTTCCATTGACTTTAATAGGAATTCTGGGCACCTGGCACCGCTTAGTACATTGCAAGGTCGATTCCCTAGTCTGCATCTGTGGCCATCTACTTTAGTAGTAGTAGTAGTAGTAGTAGTTCTACTGCAGTAGTGCCTAGTAGCACCAGACATGAACCAGGACCCCAGTGTGCTTGGTGCTGTGCAAACAAAGAACAAAAAGATGGTCCCTGCCACAAAGAGCTTACAACCTAAGTATTTTATGTTTAGATTAATTTAACTGCTTCTAATCAGTGTCCGTTACCGTACGGGAAGGTCTGAGGGACTGATGGCTCAGGACAGCTGTTTGTGAGCAACACTAAAAGAGGGCAGCAGCCTTGCCCTGATCTGAATTTTGCACTTGCATCTCCATGAACATCCCACAGTAAAGTCAACGGGAGCTCTGCATGCTTATGCAAGTGCCTGATTTAACTCAGAGTTTGGAGTTCAACTTTTACGTTTATTGGCTTCATAAAATAAATGAGAACCAGAATCTCCCAGTATAATGATTTCCCTTCATTATTTTTTTTTCTGATATCTACTTGCCTGTTTGTTTAATTTGGAATTCACCTCCTCACATAGGAGGCTGCCTTCTATTTGGGCCCTTCTAATCAATAATGGTTGAAAAGTCAAACCCGATTTCTGTTTTCAGCATGTATTCAATATATCTGTCAGATCGCACACAGCCCACAGCGCTGCATTGTGAAGGCCCTGTACACAAGAGCCCATTTTCTCAGTTTTTGTTATATTTAATCACTGTTGGATAAGAAACTCATTTTCAATGGAATAGATGCTCCTAGACAGTTGAAATTCTTTTTGTTCCCAAGTAAACTGAGCCCTCTCTCTGTCTCTGTCTCTTTCACCCCTTTGCACTGGTGGTGGGAGTGGTACGATAATTAGTGTGCTACTTTCGCTGCATTAGCTGAGCTGCACGGTGCTGATTGTTGCTTATGTAGCATGTTGCACAAAACCCTTCTGACACTTTCCCAATAGATCTCTCTCCATCCCTTCCTCCTACTCCTGATGTAGGCCTTTAAAAGCATCTTTTAAAACTAGAGCAGGACGTTCCTACCCCATTGTGCTTAAATTCCAGTAATTTCAGGATCCCTGGGTAACAATAATGTAAACTTTTTCCTGTGAAAACCACATTGCACTGATTTTCACTGAGTGCCAAAAGCATGTGATTCCCCAGCCTCTTTTGAATCATCTGCTATGAGAACTGTGTACTATATTTCTTGATTTTTTTCTCCCTACGCCTTACTTTTCTGCCCCGTCCTCAGCTTCTCAGGAGAATCATAGCCTTGGATTTGCTACTAACAGCTACTTTGCTGAAATTCAAAATATCTCTGCAGTGTCCTTCCCTTTCTAAGGGTATGTCTACACTACCTGCTGGATCGGCGGGCAGCAATCGATCCAGCGGGGGTCGATTTATCGCATCTAGTCTAGGTGCGATAAATCGATCCCCAAGCGCTCTCCCATCGACTCCTGTACTCCACCGCTGCGAGAGGCGCAGGCAGAGTCAGCTTCATGTAGCTGAAGTTGCGTAACTTAGATCAAATCCCCCCCCCCCCCCCCAGTGTAGACCAGGCCTCAGATAATGTGCTACAGATGAAGTCTTGCTTTGCATGTCGGGTTACTAATATTTCTAAAATATGCCATGTTTTAACTGAATGCTGCAGTTGAATTCAGAGTACTTGGTACCTGTTTTGCCAGCATATAGATTTATTTTAGATCCGCCAGAACTAGAAAGCTAAATTTCCGATCCTGATCTCTCCCTGAGTCTGAGTAATTTGGGCTGTACCTCTCTTTCTGCAAATGCCAGAGGCAGTTTAGACTCTTCCTTGGGACCCTGGAATCTGTCCATTCCCTTTCCATCGTTGTTCCTCCGGCACTGCATACAGGGCAGAGGTTCAGCTGTCCCATGTTTTTCTCTTAGCATCCTAGGTTTTATAACTCACTTGGGGGCAGGGCTAAGCAAGATTCTCCCCTCCCCACGCCTTGGAACAAATATTTAATTCCACTAATTTGTAGGGAAGGCAAGAGTTCTATTTCTTCTCTCTTACGTTATCCCGCCTTTCCTAGTATTGTTTCTGCATTGCTTTCTACGTCCCTGAAGTCTTGGACTGGGGAGAGGCAGGTTCCAGAAGCAAAACCTTGTTATGATTTTGTTTCTGGGAAACACCTGTTCCCCATTCTGTCCCACTCGAGGAAGTTCCTTTGGGTGCATGTATGTAGTGAATGCATCTGTACAAGCTGTTACAATTAAGAATTTATGGTAAAGCTTCAGCATTTCAATACGCTTTTGGAAACACTCACCTAGTGAGTGATTGTTTGAAGTGTGGCTAAGCCCTGGAACTCTCAGACACAAGTTTGACTAGCCTCTGGTGTATGCCAGAAGAGAGGCACAACCCACATATCTCAGGCTGAGTGAGAGGTCATTCCCCTAAATGAAATAATCAAGTGACAAATTCTCTGTTGTCTGCAGCTGGTGCTAAATACAAACTACCCATAAATATGGCCCTTAATCCCAACAGAGATTGGGTTGATAGCAAACCTCACCCTAAAATGCAGACCCAGTTCTTTGACCTAGCCTTTCCTCAGTAACACACTATTTAATACAAAACTGAACCATGAAAAATAAACACAGCCCAGCCCCTGCTAATTGGTGGGAGGGACAGGAGAAAGAGAGAGAGGGAGAGAAATATATCATGAATATAATTTTGGAAGGCCACATGAGAACCTATACTATTAATCCAATTGAATTAAGTTTCTTAATTTTAGGGAAGGTATTCTGGAGTTAGTCAAAGTTGTCTGTGACTCATAGAGCAGGTAGAGATAGGTGTTATTTGTGGCACAGTGTTGAACAATCTGCATTGTCCTCATCCTAAACACTATACTTAGCAAGCAAGGAAAGGGCATTTAAAAAATTGCAGTGCTAATCTCTCAGTTTTAATTTCTTGGAAGTTTTAAAGGCAGAGTTTCCTTGAAAGTGCATGCTGATAACATACGATTTTTGATTGCTCATTAAGATAGTTATTAAGCATTTTGTATTAAAGTCTTTCATTTTATTTCTCACGGTTATCAGTATGAAACATTCTCTTTGAAAAGTGCAGACTGTCCCAAGGCTAGCTTCGTTTCTGCCCAGGTTTCCTTGCAACCATCTACAAACTCGCTTCTTCAAACGATTTTTTTTTCCCGGAGTTGATTTTTTTTTTCATGCAGTATTTCCCAAGTAAATCAATTAAAAACATTAATTGGGAGATGACCTCTCTCTTTTTTTAGGTTAACTTAAAAATACCCCCAAACATATGATCTTATAGTTTTCAAATAACTTGGTATCTCCATAACGTTAATTAAATGTCAAGGACAATTATGCTTTCACTAGCAATTAAAAAGTGTTAAGTATATATAACCGCTGGGAACTGTAAGTGGTTTGGCTATGCAGAAAGGGGGAGGGGAATGGAGAGTGCTTCTCTTCTTTGTAAATCACAGCAGACCAAATTGCAGTGTTTTAATGGAGGGCCACATTGTGCCTGCTAGGCTCAGTTCCCTGGTGGGGCAGTGCAGGAGACAGGTCCCTCTGGATCTCCCAATGTGCAGAGGGAGTTCAATGACTGCCCCATAGCTTCGGAGGGTGCCCCAAACTCCCACACTGTGCATCTAGCAGTTGCAGGTCAGGGTGAGGCCCTGCCTGCTCCCCTCCCTAGTCTTTTTTGTGTATCAGGGTGTGAGAGGAAGGAGTAATGGTAGCCCCCAGCCCCCCAAAAATGGTTAAGGTTTCACCAGAACAAAGCAGCCATTCAATAAAATTACTGGGCAAAAACAAAATTAATCAATGGAATGAAATCTTTCAACTACAGACCTGATCCCTAGCGAGGCTAAGAACCTCCTGAAACATTTTAAACACCCACTGAAATCAATGGGAATTAAAGGCACGCCACACCTTGCAGGATCAGGCCCTTAGAAAATATAGCTCCTGGAATGGTACTAATATTTAATTAAAATAGCGCAAGAGTTCTTTCCCCATCTAGTCTTATTCCTCCTCCCTCTCCTCATGCTCCAGAAAATCTCTGAGTTGGAATTATAATAAACTCCTCTTTACAGCTGAGTAGGGTGACCAGAAGGCAAACTTGGTAATGGGCACCTGTATAAGACAAAGTCCCGAATATTGGGACTGTCCCTATAAAATCGGGACATCTGATCTCCCTGAGTTGGGGGGAAGCACAGCAGTTGTTAATGCAATCCTACTTTTTGCACAACGAGCAGTTCTAACTTATGAACTGTAGCTGTGGTAGAATATTCTTGGTAACTCTTTAATCTCTGGTTGTTTATGGCTTTCCCTTATTCTTTTGTTGATTTTTTTTCTACTTTATGAGCTGCTGCAATATTTTTTGCACTGCTGTAGGTAATTTGGTTTGGCAGGACAACTGTGTATTTGGAACAATTCTGATGTAAGATGCAGAGAGAAGTTTTAGAGGTTTATTTTGATTTGGTGGGGGGGGTTTTTGGTGTCTTCCCTGTCAACTCTGTTTAATTATTTCTGAGAGAGACCTATTATTTGACCTCTCCTGACAAATATTTACATGTCCTTGAAATTAGCATTACATTCTTTTTTTCCAAATATGCAATAAGCCGTACTCATTTTAAAAGACCAGTCTAGTCCTCACGCCCATTGACATAAAATTTGCAGAATTGAGCCCCCTTAAAATGAATTTCTTAAACCAAAACTTACGCTTGTTCATTACAGGAATTACAAGGGCACATCTCTTGTGGGTTTATAACCCCTAAAATATTTTTATAAATGCAATTAATTATGTTTCACTGAAATATATTGTTGAAGCTTTTGTTTTCAGGGCATTTTTCTAACATCTGTTTTACAGTTTACAAAACTGTGCTTTGAAATATAAGTTATTTTAGAACAAAAAGTATCACTACAATTCACTGGGTTATGCACAAAGAAGGCCCTAAACATGGTTGTCAATAAACAGATACACCTACTTCTAGATACGTTTTCTATGGAAAGTTTCCAGAGATAGCTAATTGAATTGTGTTTTTGTGGACGATTAGGAGGGAATTTCGATAGTTCTTTCGATGCTGAGAAGGGCGTGGGCACTATTGTCATTGCAAAGCCCTTGGATGCAGAGCAGAGGTCTATATATAACATGACTGTGGAGGTCACCGATGGAACAAATGTTGCAACCACTCAGGTACAATGTCTCATTCTTTGTGTGCAAGTTTTTCATTTGTTTGTGGAATTTGTGCAATTTTATAGAATAACTGTGCCCTCCGAATTAAAAGAACATCCTATGGGAGCCAAATTAAATGATTTGGCATTTGGTGAATATTTTGAAGCATGTTTCCACTTGCTTTGAAGAGATTTGAATGTTTAATACTTAGAAAAGTGGCATTTCTTCTTCTGGTCTTCATGTTCATGTTGAACCAAGATTCTGTCCCAGGACTGAGGGTTTCCATATCAGATGGGAGCTAGGCACAGATGTTGACAGCACAGATTTGTATTATACAACATGGTCCAGAGGACATCATCTTACAATAGTGCTTCTGCAGTTTTTGTGGATATTACTGTAGAATATTGTGGATTATTTTCTGTTTTCTTTTCTTTTCTTTTTTTTTTTTAAATGAAGTTCATACCTCTCAACCTACCCATGCCTAAATGTGGCATAATGTGTGGCAAAGACCCAAAATGAGGGACAGGCACAAATTATTCAGGCAGGAAACTTGTGCTGTGGGATTCCTTCCTTTCCTGTCAATGACTGTCTAACCTCAATTCTACATTGCTTTATTTCTGATGTCAGTAATTTGCAACAATACAAGTAAGGGGATGAATTTGTGTGGAGCATAGACAACTAAAAGGGGAGATGTCCCTCAAAGTGAGGTACAGTTGAGAGGTCTGGACTAGTTAGTGCCTTGACTCCTAACTCAGCATGAGAGTGAAGTGTGCATGAAGCATGCACCTTATACTGATAGGATGAAATTTACATCAGTGGAATGTACAGGGCCTCCCAGATTAAAGGTGGCCTGCAGAGGAAATGAAAAAAATTAGGTTTGTAATGTTATTTGCTTCTTTATAATGCAAAAAGATGTCATGGCCGATTTATTTTTTGCTTTTTTATCTTACCGTTATCAGAAATGTCTGGTTTTGCTTGGATGAGTCATATATAGTTTGGGAGCTCTCCGCCCTTATTTGAAAAGGTGATCAAAGTCTCAAACCTTCAAGAATTATGAGCTGTTTAACCTTCGCTATTTACAGTACTTCCAGTTTGTACTTTTTGATTTATCTCCAGAGCCTTCAGTGACAATTAAACAGAAGCATTTGATACAAGCTTGTAGCTAGCAAATTGAATTTTGTACATATATTGGCTAGTTCTTTATCCCAATCCTAAATATAACCATAATCTCTGCGGGCCAGACATGTCACGTTACATACCCAATGCAATCACTTACGCAGCCTCTGTGATTTGATTTAGATATTGAATAGTATGTTACTAAAATGCTTGAAAAGAAAGACCCAAAAAACAAAAACAAAACAGTTGCCCACAATGAAAATTGTACTTCATAATGGGTGTCCACCTAAACCCATCCTTTAATAGAGAGGAAGCATGGCCCAGTGGTTAGGGCACTGGTCTTGGTAAGCTTCTTGAGGAAAGGGCTGTCTTTTTGTTCTTGTGTTTGTACAGTGCCTAGTATAGCATGGTCCTGGTCTGTGACTGGGACCCCTAGGTGCTACAATAATACAAATAATGAAAAATAATAATAAATAGTAGGTTGTGGGTGGTCTTGGCTCAAGTCCCTGCTCTGCCACAGGCTTCCCGTGTGACCCTGGGCAAATCACTTATCTTCTCTGTGCCTTGGTTTTCCATCTCTAAATCAGAGATAGTAGAACTTCCCTAAATCACCATTGTGTTGTGAGGATAAGTACATTAAACATTGTGAGGTCCTCAGATACTATAGTAACGGGCTATATAAGATATAGCAATAACCATCATTTCCTGTGTGATGTATAATCAACTCATTAACTAGTTTTTTCTGGAAGTTATGTTTTCATATGTAAAAATAGGAATTAAAATCATAAAGATTATTTCACACGCTATAAAAGAAAACAATGTTAGAGATGAGAATTTATAATATAGGAAATACTGAATAGTGTTCCATATATTCATATTCTATAATTCTCTTATATAAATTCATGTAAGGTATTTTTATCATATTCACAAGTTTGAATTTTCAGACTTAAAAGTGATAAAAAGAGCTGAACTGTGTTACTCACATTTGTTTATTTAACAAAATAAAGCCCATGTGCTAAGTCAAAAATATCTCATATAAAATATTAATATAATCTACTGAGAGTTCTGTAGAGTACATTACACTGTAGGCATAGAACCACCTGGGTTTTAATTAGGGCTGTCAAGCGATTAAAAAATTAATCACGATTAATTGCGTGATTAATCGTGATGTTCAACAATAATAGAATACTACATATATAAATATTTTTGGATGTTTCCCACATTTTCAAATATATTGATTTCAGTTACAGCACAGAATGCAAAGTGTACAGTGCTCACTTAATATTTATTTTTATTATAAATATGTGCACTGTAAAAAATAAAAAAAAAGTATTTTCAATTAGCTTAATACAAGTACTGTAGTGCAATCTCCTTATCATGAAAGCTGAACATACATATGTAGAATTATGTACAAAAAATAACTGCACTCAAAAATAAAACAATGTAAAACTTTAGAGCCTACAAGTCCACTCAGTCCTACTTCTTGTTCAGCCAATCGCTCAGACAAACAAGTTCGTTTACATTCGTAGGAGATAATGCTGCCCTCTTCTTATTTACAGTGTCACCAGAAAGTGAGAACTGGCGTTTGTATGGTACTGTTGTAGCCGGTGTTGCAAGATATTTACGTGCCAGATGCGTTAAGATTCCTATGTCCCTTCATGCTTCAACCACCATTCCAGAGGACGAGTCCATGCCGATGATGGGTTCTGCTCAGTAACGATCCAAAGCAGTGCAGACCGACCCATGTTCATTTTCATCATCTGAGTCAGATGCCACCAGCAGAAAGTTGATTTTCTTTTTTGGTGGTTCAGGTTCTGTAGTTTTCACACAGGAGTCTTGCTTTTTTAAGACTTCTGAAAGCATGCTCCACTCCCCGTCCTGATCAGATTTTGGTAGGCACTTCAGATTCTTAAACCTTGGGTCAAGTGCGGTAGCTATCTTTAGAAATCTCACATTGGTACCTTCTTTGCCTTTTGTCAAATCTGCAGTGAAAGTGTTCTTAAAATGAACAACGTGCTGGATCATCATCCGAGACTGCTATAACATGAAATATATGGCAGAATGCGGGTAAAACAGAGCAGGAGACATACAATTCTCCCCCAAGGAGTTGTCACAAATTTAATTAACACATTATTTTTTTAACAGCATCATCAGCGTGGAAGCATATCCTCTAGAATGGTGGCCAAAGCATGAAGAGGCATACAAATGTTTATCATATCTGACACATAAATACCTTGCAATGCCGACTACAAAAGTGCCATGCGAAAGTCTGTTCTCCCTTTCAGCTGACATTGTAAATAAGAAGCAGGCAGCATTATCTCCCATAAATGTAAACAAACTTGTTTCTCTTAGTGTTTGGCTGAACAATAAGTAGGACTGAGTGGACTTGTAGGCTCTAAAGTTTTGCATGGTTTTGTTTCTGAGTGCAGTTATGTAACAACAACAAAATCTACATTTGTAAGTTGCACTTTCCTGATAAAGAGATTGCAATACAGTACTTGTATGAGGTGAATTGAAAAATACTATTTCTTTTGTTTATCATTTTTACAGTGCAAATATTTGTAATAGGAATAATATAAAGTGAGTACTGTACACTTTGTTTTCTGTGTTGTAATTGAAATCCATATATTTTAAGATGTAGAAAAACATCCAAAATATTTAATAAATTTCAGTTGGTATTCTATTATTTAACAGTGCGATTACAACTGCAATTAATCGCGATTAATTTTTGCGAGTTAACTGCTATTAATTGACAGCCCTAGTTTTAATGTTACTTGCAAAAATATTTTCTGGAAGAAGTATGTGTGTGGGGGGGAATCCATCTATAAATCCCTTCGCTTCATTTAAAAAAAATAAATAAAAGAAGCCCTCCCGCGCGTCCCCCTCCCCCAACATGCGGGGTTTACTACAAAACAGCTGATCTTCATCATGCCTAATGGAGACATATTTCCTTTTATTCAACAGCACTTGTTCTTCCTTTATCTCTTTCTGGCAGTTGGTGCGTTACACAGTCAGAAGTGGTAAAAGACATTGTAAAAATGCCAAAGATTTTTGTTTCAGTAATATGATCAGTGGTGCAGACCTGTATAACAGCTTTAGTTTCATCAGTAGCTGTACATTTATTAAATTCTGATAAACTATTGAGACTTCCCTCACTCCATGGCCCTCTACACTGTATGTTACAGTGTAGTAAGAGAAACAAAACCATTATGATTTAAAATTCATACGTTTTGTGTTCTAGATTAGTTTTGGTGGAGGCAAAAGAAAGAAGTTAAGAAACCCAAGAAGGCCTTAAAGCTTTCTACATGAATTAAAGGATGTTTGGTGGGGGAGTGGATGATGTCAAGTTACAGAGATCCATGCAGATTCGTGAGTGAGACACTATTCGTGTTAATGTACTGTTCCCACTTACCATGTCGCCCCTTTATCAAGGCTGCAACCACCACGTTTTATGCCAGTAAAAATCTATTTTAATGCAGTCTTGCTATGATCCAAGCAAAGTGGCAGCGGTAGTTGTGAGGGAGGAATATTGATTTATTTGATATATTATTGGAGTGTGAGTATGAAGGTACCTATTAGATTGATTAACTTCTGGGAAGGCTAAGCCAGGAACAAGCCAGTGGTGGGGGGGTTGTTTTTCCTCCACTTAATTCATCATTGCTGAAGGCAATGTGATAATTTATAAAAATCTGAAGTTGTACACCACGTCTGAGTTCATGAGAAATGTGATTCTTGCAGGTATCGCCTGCTCACTAGTCCTTGGGGGACATCTGCTGTCCCCAAACTTGAATGAAATCATGAAGCCATGACCCTAGGACTCTGCTTTAGCTATAGGCCATAAGATTTAATTTGATAGAGAGTATATTGCCCTCAATTGAACAAAGAGGGACTTCTGCTGGCATGGA